TCAGCAGGAGATACCCAACACCAAGAGCTCTTCCAACTAACAGTAACAGGATAAGCAGTAAAATATGTGCTCTGATTTGGAACTAGCAAACACAGCAAATAACCAATTATTCCAAATAGTTTACAGATTTTGATTTTTGGGTTTTTTTTGGCTTGCGTTAGCTTTGCTAACTTGCCATTTGATGGGTTATTTGTATTTCTTACAAACAAAGCATTGCAAGCCAAAATAACAGTATGAACAACTGCGTAGAAAACACCTTATAGTGCTTCTCAGGGGAGAACGGAAGCTCCTCGTTGCAGTTTCATAGCTCAGAGGTGTCTGAGGGCTCCTCATGAGCATTTCTCCTCTGGGACATCCTCATGAATTGCCTGACTCCTGCTACTGCTCCAGCAAGCTAAGGCTGGTGGAGAGGAAGTCTTGCCAGACCATTTCACAGCTGGATATGCAGAAGTTGCACGGGCATTAACCATGTGGGAGGTCCTCTGCAAACAGTGCTTCGTGGCTCTCCTGCAAATCTGGGTCCCTCGACGCCCACCTATGTTAGGACTTTCACGCTAACCCCATGTTTTCACTCAACGGGAGTTGTTTGTAGTTCTCAGAAGGAGCCTGTCTGTCCCTTCGATCCTGAGCAGGTTGGAGGAGACCCGGACAAGGACACCTTGCCAAAGGGGATTAGGGCCCTCAAAGCCCCTTGATGGCCAACAGGTGCTTTGCAAAATGCAACATATCCTCCCCACATTATACCCTGCTTATTCCTTGCTTGCACAAGCAGCTTTCTGGCAGTTCCTAGCTGCATCTGTTGACATTTTAAAGTGGTTCTTCAGAAGCATTTCTGTGTTTTCCTCTTGCCCTTAACAATCAATAATGCTCTTATTTGGTATTCGTACTGCCCTGGCACTCATGGACCCTGCTCGGGATTCAGCTCCCATTGTGCAATGCTCTGCAGAAAAGATGAAGGATGGGAAACGGCCCCAAACAGGTTCCATTTAAATATTGCTCTTAAGGCAGATATCAAAAAACGGGCCAAAGGCATAGAGAGTTTTACAGTCCCTTGTTTGTAAAGGGATCCCGGTGTGACCAGCTCCGGTGGTGGCATCTATACCACATCAACTTGAGCTTTAGTCATGATTCAGCTGACTAAATGTAGGCTTTGATCTTAGCAAGAGGTGTATTACACCTTCTGCTGATGATGTCTATGGGCTCTCCTCTGTCCTGCAGTCCCCTGCACTTTCCCAAATTAACACCCCCAGGGTCACCAGGATCTCATCCTGAACACGCTCCGGTCGGCGCTGGTAGGCATCATGGCAGAGACACGGAGGGCACCTCCATCCTCGGAGAGCTTTGGGGGGACGCTGGCCAAGCCCAGGTGGGGCTCTCAGGGTGCTTTGCCAGTTTGAAAAGGAGATTTACAGGACATCAAAGAGAGGATCTTGTGGATAATTATAGAGAGGATTTTGTGGATAATTAGAGTGCTCCTCCCAAGCAGGGAGGGGGAAATGGCTCATGAAAGAGCTTATTTTGACATTTTAAGAAGTCACGAGTCTCTCTTCTGCCCTTTGAACACAATTGAATCGCTTGAACTCCAGAGGGATGAGCCAGGATCTCAGCGCAGTGGGAAGGGGACAGATCTGGAGCAGAGAGGTGGGTCTACGAGACATCGGTGTTGCAAAATCATCTCGTTTTGCTTATGCCAAAGATTCTCAGGAGGGCCAAGAGAGGGACGAAAGGCCGACTCTTGAATTTTTCTAGGAGGGCTTTGCCAGCAGCTGCACCAGAGGAGCGCGAAGAGAGGCCGGATTAGAAAGGGTTTATGAACTAGGTTATAAACAATTGCAGATTAAGTGCTTGGATTCGTGCAGGCTCCAAGCAGAGCCTGAAGCACCAGCTCTGGCAGCCCTGACCTGACGTACCCACCAAGTGATATATCATATATCACTTCTCCCCAGCCTTTACCCCCCGGGCGGCTGTAGGGGATTGCTGCCACAGGGAGCAGAGGCGATGGCCGTCGCCCTCCCTGGTGGCACTCCGGGTCCCCCCGGCAATGCCTGCCCCATTTTCCAGAGCCGTTTCTGGGTCTGGGGTTTTTTCAAGCTTTTCTCAGCACACTGAGGCCACGCTGCTGAGGAGGCAGATAACCCACATGCTCAAGGTGAAGGGAAAAAAATAGCTTTTGTGGACCACACCAAGAAGATGGGCAGATTGATCTGCAAGCTCAGCTCTCCAGGAGGGGCAAGCCCACGATCTCCCATCACGCTCCCCCTCCTCCAGGTCATTAACACCACGGTCGGAGGCAGAACCTGGCGGAGTTCAGGAGCTCCCTCACACACTCCACACCGGGCTGGATTTTTTTGGCTGTAAAAGCTTTTTTCCTAATATTTAACCAGCTGCAGCCCCTCTGCCTCATTCCACAGCTCCCGCTTTCGTGCAAAGCTCCCCAGCTATAAAGGAGGAGACGGGAAGGAAGACGTGCACGGGCTGTCTCGGTGACGCGCTTTCCAAAACAGGATGGTTTCCCCGGGAGGCGTCAGCAGCTCTCCACAATGTGAGGTTTATTATATTTAATCACATCCTTTGTGATTTTGTGATTTTCATCCTTTGGTGAAGCCCAGGAGAATGGGTTTATTACTGCCTAATATTCTGTTGCTTTTATTTTAAATTACTGGTTGGCAGCTTTTTTCTTTTTCTTCTTTTTCTTTTTTTTGTAGAATTTTATTTGAACTAAACCAAAAACATATTCACATAAATTAAAGATGCTGATGAACAAAGGGAGGGGGGAGGCTATTTACAGAGCTTTTGTTTCCATACTCCGCATCCCAGCACAGCCACCCATCTGTCTTCTCTGTGCGACAAAGGAAGCCACATCGAGGAACAAGGTTTTGTGGGTGCAATGGATAAACCAGGTACTGGAGAGATGCGCGTAGGGCCAACAAAGCACATATCTATGTATTACGGAGAGACAGGCTGGACATTAAACAAGCCTCCAACCCTACGCAAGACCTGCAACGATGCCTATCAGGGGCTTCTGCATACAAAAGTGGCAGCTGCCATGAAGCTGCAACCCCTTTCTTACTCATGTGCTCTGCTTGCTCGATTTTTACTGTTTTCTGCAAGTGAAAGCCCAATTCATTTTTCCTTCCATCCCGCACGGTCAGACGTCAAAGGGAGGTTATTCCTCCCAAAGACACAGTATAAATAACACCTCCGAGCTGACCTTTTTCCAGAGGTCCGGGCTGACTCACTGGTGTTTTACACCCCAGGGCTGAAGCTCCGGGCTCGGCCGGTGGGAAGGAGTCAGCTGTTTGTCACGGCGAGGAAGTGGAAAGCAACGCAATTAATTCTGGCCTGAAACACGTGGGAGAAACGTGCAGAGCTCTTGGCAGGAACCGCCCCTGCCCTGTAACTCATGGGCCAGTATCAAGAGGGATCTAAGAGGGGAGAGGAGCCCCAAGGTCACAACCCTGCTAGGGATGAATGTGGGGCATGGAGAAGAATTGCTCCTCTGGAGCATCAGCCCTGAGAAAGCAAAGCAGCTTCAGCGCCAATCTTACAAACCCAGGAACTTCCCAAACATCTGATTTTCTTATGAAAAAATGCACAAAGGGAGCAGGAGACACTTTGCAAGGAGGGATCCGTCACTGCTCGGGCGCTGCCTGGCGTCTCCCTCATCCCCACACTTTGAGGGCACCAGGCTGTATACCTGCAAGAACCATGATTGTGCAAAGTCCCGCCGATGAGATGAAACCTTCCTTGGGGTGAAACCCTCCTCCTCTTTGAAGGTCAACACCTTCTTAGTTCAACTGACACCAACGTGATGCCTAGGACTTGTCACGGTCCCTGAGCTAGGATGTGGAGGAGCACAGAAGTCCCACCAAGTCCTCAACCATGCCACTGCAGCCACCCAGGACACACCATCTCCACTGAGCTACCAGGCTCTGCTGGCATGCACAGAGAAGCCAGAGGCTGTTGGGAAGACATCCGACCTCGAGCACATATGTAATTCCGTTGGCTCCGTGAGGACAAGAGGGAGGAAGCTTCCTCATCCCTCCTCCCAAAACTGACCTCATTTTCTTTGGCATGAAGCAAAATGATTGCTGAAATGCACACACACCTGTAGCAAGATGAAATTCCATTTTTCTAGGACAGCAAGGGGACCTTTCACAAAAAGAACTGCCTCATTTTTTGCAGATCTTTAAATATATCTATATATGCACATATATCATCCATAAAACCCATTAATCAAGCAAGTAAGTTAGAAATTAAGCAATACATACATGAGGCTGGGCCCGAGAAGCTGGTATGTTAATTAATGCTGAGCTGGTCATACCCTCTGCAAGCTACAAATTAAAATGATTGGTTATCAATGGGGTTAGAGAAACATTGTTTAACATACATCAGCAAAAGCACAATTTAGGAGAAATAAAATGAATGAACCCAAGCAGTGCCGCCTTCCCCCTCCCCTGGGTTTTAAGGTTGAGGTCTCCCCGGACGAGGCATCCTTGGCACAAGAGCAGGGTTTGGGTTTTCTTTGATGTTCAACAAACGGGACTGGGTTGGAATGGTTGCAGAGAATAAATGGGGTATTGAAGCGCAACCGCAGCAAAAACCCCATTTATAGAAAAGCTGTTAATATTTCTCAGCGCAGGACAGCATCTCCTCCTGCGGACGCTGAGGGCTTGCAAACGCAGCAAGCCAAGTTCATCACAGGAGCCAGGTGACTCAGGGTGTTTTTAACAGAAAGGGATTCGGAGAGCTCAGGACCAAGGGCTGGTACAAACAAAACACCAAGCACAAGCAGAGGTTGTCCTTGGCAAACCAAGAGCTGCCATCACCTACCCCTGCCCTGGGCAGCAAGCAGCGGTTCTGCTCCTGTCTTGCAAGGTGTGTTTCCGTCAAGGTGGAGGAGGGGGAGAAATGGGATGTTCTCACCAGAAAATAGCTGGGTTTGAGCAACAGGGCAAGCCTGACAGTGGTCCCCCTGCTCGCCAGCTCGGGCTGGTCCCCAAACGCACTGCTTTTGACCCCATGGAACCAGACCTGCATCAGACCTTGGGTCAAGATGAAAACACTGAATTTACAGCTGCTTCATGGCAGAAAGATTCCCCCAGGCTCAGTTTCCACTAGGACACCCATGGAACTCTCAGAAGCTAGTGGGAGAGAGCTCATCCGTGACTATTTTATCAGAAGAAACAAATATCAGCTCATCCCTTGGGGCTGCAGATCATGCTCATCCTTCCTGCTCTGCTTCCCACGGGGATGAGGACCCAGGAAAGAGCACGGAGAACAAGGGGAGGCTGCAGGTGCAGAGCAGGCAGGAATACGGGCAGATCCACACCTGGGTCGCCCAAGAAATCCCACAGCCGCTTGTGCACGCTCAGCCCTTGCAAAACCCTGCTCCGTGTGCATATCCCAGCGAAGCAAACTAGAAAGGCTTAGCCCAGGAGACCTTGCTACAGAAAAATTGCTTTTCTAGGAGTTTCAGGAGCTTCTCTTCTTCGCATTTGGTAACCATGGTGTTTGTGGTTCATGTGCACACAGACTTGTTTTAAACAGACCTCGGGCTGAACTTCTCACCCCACTTGGACGAGATGGACAACACATTCAGCAACCTCAGAGCAGAGGGGGTTTGCGTCTGTCTGTTTTATCTATTTCAGATGAGGACAACAAAGTGGTCCTTTGTTCCAGTCATCCGTCAGAGGAGGGACCAAAGCCAGGCTTGGCAAGGAGGGAGAAAGGCTTTGGAGCCACACAATGAAACACACCCATGCATACATGCACGGGCAGGAACAATCCTGACTCCTTCTTCCAAGGTCACCGCTGGAAGAGCGAGCGGCACGGAGACTGCAGCCCTGGGCATGGACTCCTGGCCCTGGCATCCGTCGCCTTTCCCAGGGAGAAGGGGTAGGATGGCCTCTGCAGACCTCAACTCCTCCTTCACCCTCCAAAACTGGCCCCGGAGGGGAGCAGAGCAGGGCAGAGGGACCCTGACGGCTGCAGGGTGTCAGACCACCTAAGCAAAAGTCACCCCGACTCATGTCCAACACCAGGAGAGGGTGGGCATGGGAGGAACAGCATCCAGGGACAAAATGTAGAGGCTAGGGAGGGAGATGGTGGGAATTTTGGTTTGGTTTTCCAGGAACAAGATCCCTCCTCCTCCATTCCCCAAACAAAGGGCAAAAATGAAAGGCAAACAAACAGAAAAGAATTAATCTGGGGTCAAACTGAATAATTCAATTCATTGCAGGGTGTTTTGTTTGCAAAATGTTTGTTTCAGTAAAGAAATGTCAAATCTTCCACTTTGAAACCACTGCCGCAGAGCGTTCTGGCTTTGCCAAGTCCCTCTCCCCCTTCTCATCCTTTCACCTCCCGTGTAAACTGTTCCCCAAGTTTGACCCGAGTTTGCAGATGCTTTCAATAGGCTTCAGACTGCCCCAGGGAACAAAGTATTTATTGCAGAGCTGGGGTCCCTCAGCTGCAAACCTCTGTCTCACTCCTTCCTCCGACACAGCCCAAATGCTGTGTACACCTGTATAAAAGTGTGTGTGTCCCCATCCATAGCTCTTGTCCCCAGAAGGACGATTTGAGCGGGTTTCCTATCATCACAACAAAGTCCCTGCAAGGTCTGGGAGAGCCGCAGCCCCGCAGAGCCCCGTCAACCTCAGAGTTTCCCCGGAGGGAAAAGCTGAGCCTCTCCGCCCGAACCAGCCTCAGGAGCACCACAGAAAACCCGGCTCATTCTGGTGCCCACGACTATTTTTGGGGAAGAAGGCCCTGCCTTCAGGTCTGTGGACATTGCTAGGGAAATATTTTTCTGACCTTTGCTGGACATTTAAAAAATAAAAATTACATAATGCCATACGGGGGTGTCATTTATTTTGGTTAAAGGAAAGTCAAACATGAGCGAGAGCTTGCCTCACTTTGCAACCTAAGGCTGAGGGACCTCATTTTGGTGAGGCCAGAGGTGCCCTCCTTTGCCCACCCCTCCCTTGCTCATTGCCACAGCCCTCCTCTTCCTCACAGGCATCCTCAGAGGCCAGAAGGTCACTCACCTCTGTCCTCTGCACCCACTGCCCATAAATGCCTTCCTGGATGTTTTGCTAATTGTTGGACCAAGCCTGAGTCCCCTGATGACAAGGTCTGCACACAGGAATGGGGAGGTGGGCTGGGTTTTCTTACAGACAGATCTGCTTCTGCACATCCCAGCCAAAAGCTGCCTGGGGGAGCGAGTATCAAGAAGGAAAAGATAGCCGGGATCACCTGCAGGCAATGCTCAGGAAGGGCTTTTGAACAGGCAGCCGACGTTGCAAGCCTTGGGGATCTCACAGAGGATCAGCTGTCAGCAACTTCTCCACCTCAACACCAACCAGGACAATGGCTTCCTCCCCACCGGGACTCAGACCGGGATGCTCCGTGCCCATGGCTCTGGCAGCACAAAGAGAGGGACCAGTGCTGCAGGAAAATGCATCTTCCCCCATCTGCAGCTGCAAACGCAGTAACTGCTCTCCTTGCTCTGCAGCATCTCCAGGGTGCTGACAGGTCCTCACCTCCACCAAGAAGCAAACAGTGGCAGAGAAACGCTGAGGATCCAGCTGCCAACAACCCTCTGTTCCCTGACAGGGACCCCATTTTCTGGTTGTCACCTTCCAAAAATGTCTCCTTTGCCTCCAGGTCAGTAGGAAACCTCATTTCCCCCTGCCAGACAAGAGCCTGGCCACCGGGGCCACCAAGGGCTGCCTCCGGGTCACAGACCTCTAGCTCTAGCAGAGTTGCATCCCTGCTGCTGGGGGCACACCAGCTCCCTGAGGTGGATCTCAACCTGCTGCCACTGACGTGACAGTGGTCCTAATTTTCAAAGCAAGTAGTGGTTGGAGGACCAGCTGTACCAAGGATGAAACATTGATCCATGTACCCCTCCATGGTGTATGGTTCTCCACTGGGACAAGGAGCACCCCAAAGTCTCAGGGAAGAACTTCAGTTTTTTGGAAAGAGCATTTTTCCATGAATTTCAGCAGAAAGCACACAAATTTCCAAAGAAGGATGAGTGGCAGGGTGTAATTCAAAAGACAGACAGGCAGACCTGGACCTGGCGTGCCATCAGAAGTGCCTACAGCTTCTTCAGGAGCACTCAGATATTGCACTGACTTTAAAAACTGGTAAAGAGCAGAAGGTGTGTTTGGACAAGAGCATCCAGAGCAAAGCTTTGGGAAGGATGGGAGTTGGAGGAGGGTCAGCGACTGCTACTCTCCTTCCTCCCATCACAACCTGCTCACGGGGAACCCACCAGCCCAGCCCTGAGTGAGTACAGGCTTCTGAAACCGGTTCCCTCAGCCCTTGGTGCAGCTCTCCCGCACCCCGCGCCTGCTTGGAGCTGCTTCTGCCGGGGTGGGAGGAGGTGGGGGGAGCAGGGCCAGGTCCTGTGGCGCCTGCGGTGATGGGGTGCGGCTCACGGAGCGATGGTTTCTCCATGATGCACCGCCACATCTGAGGAGGAGATTAATGCTTGTTTGCAATTTAAACAGCTCCGCTGTGCCAGGGCACTGTGTACACACAAAAACAGAGCCTCCGGCCTCACTCCAAATTAGCCTAATGAAGAGCAGGTTTCGGGACAGGCTCAGAGGAGAAGCAGACTGCCCGTCTCCTCCCACCTCTCCTGTCACCTTCTGCCACCTTTGACCGCTCTGTGGACACGATCAACACCCAGCATGGTGCTGAGCTGCATGTGCAAGAGGTCCCTGCATACCACGATACTGCTCTGCCTCCCAAACTACCCCAAAATACCTAAAAATACCCCGCCCAGCTGCCTTTGCCTCTGGGTCAGCATCTCCAAGAGGTCCCCCGGTGATGGACGGGGCCAAAGCACCACCTCAGCAGTGATGGAGGTTTGCACCTTTGGTTCCTCAAATGCAGGTGTAAATGGGATGATCCAGCACAGGGAATCAATAGGAAAACTCCCACCAGCAGCCACGGGGATAGATTTGGACTTCCAGGGCCATGCCTGGTCCCTGCTGCTAGTTGTACCCCAGACATGATGGCCTGATAAAAGTCAATCCAGACATCTACATCGTGGTTCGTTCAGCGCACGCATGTCTACACCGCACCTATAACCTCTGGCTTGCACACCCCATGCCACCAACAAGCCTATTCTCAGTTAACGCTGGTCAAAAGATGGAAAAAAAAAAAAAAAAAAAAAGCTTTGAAGGACAATTTTTCATTTTCTTTTCCAAACTAACTGCAATAAAAAAGGTGGAAGCCAAAAGAAATTTGAAATTCTGCCATCTTTGGAGCGCAAACATAAGAAGAGCGTGAGCCCTGGGTTTCTCTTTCTTGCCTTGCCCTCACCTCCAGGTGCAACAAAACCTGGGGAAAACAGGGAAATGGTGAATGGGTCTCAGGGGGGAAGCACTGAAGGTGCATGAAATTCTGCAAAATTAACACGAAAAGCATTCCTGATTTTTCGCCGCTAGAAAGTGCCCAAAGAAAAGAAAAATCTGTAAAAAAGATGCCTTTTCATTAAAAAGCCATGGCAAATCTGATGAGAGCATTTCAAGCAACAGCGGGCACGGCCCTCCGTGCACCCAGCAGAGCCTTCGCCTGCAGCTCTTGTAAAGGATATTTATGGGAGGAAATTTTCCTCCCCTCACCTCCCTCAAAAAAGCAGCCACCGGTTTAATAAACCGCTGGCAAAACAAAGCAGGGGAATTTCCATTAAGCAGAGTAAAAGGGTAATTAGCAACTGGGCTGAAAGCGCCCGCCTCGTCCCGCGTTGCAGCAGCCAGCCCAAGCCCCAGCCGCGCTGGGTCCCCACGAGACACCAAATTTGGGCCAAAACCCTGGTTTCCCAGAGGGAATTGCATTTCCCTCCTGTTACCTCCACCAAAGTCACAGGAGAAGGCGCAGGAGCCACTGCGGGTCCGGAGCGACCCTGGCAAAGGCACAGAAAAATCAGGGCTGGGAAACGGCGCTGGCAGGCGAAGGTCAGAGGAAAGGAAACGTTTTGTAAAATCAGTTGCATTTAACAAATGGTTTTGCCGTCAGAAAAAGGCAGCAGAGGGCCAGCGTGGAGACGGTCCTTCTGACGCTCTCAAAGAGCAGTATTGCACGCCGGACGTGCTCCAAGTTGTTATTTTGCTACACAACACCATTTCTACTGAAAATTGACCCAAAAAAAAAAAAAAAAAAAAAAGAAAGGGGGGGAATTTAAACTGTAGATTTCAGAATATGAAAAAAAAAAAAAATTAGTCAAACCAAAGTTGCATAGATTTTTCTATTAAAAAATAAGAAATTATGTCTTTGCAGCTTGCTGGGGTTACAGACGCAAAACCAGCCCACCCATTGCTGTCCCATCTGTGGCTGTGGGTCAGGCGGGGGCCAGAAAAACCTTCTGCTGGGGGTCTGAGCCCATGGCTAAAGAAAACTCCCCCTGGCCGCTGCCACCAGGCAGCACCTTCCCGTCCTCCACGCGCGCTCCCAGCCCTTGAGTCAGGTCTGTGCCTGCCACTGTGGGAGCAGCAAAGCCATCCCTGGGTGCTCTGAGCCTTTCCCGCGGATCCATCCCACCACAGCTCTCCCTGCAGAGGCTCTCGCAGCCTTGGGGGACACACTGGGTGCCGCCGGCTTCCTTGGTGCAGCAAGGGGACGTCGCTTGCCCAGCATCACGCAGCTAATCAAGTCAGGACCTGCACCCCAGCCCTCCTACCCACGTTATTCCCTGACCTCACTTTTCTTCCAAGTGCTTTCTGTGCTAGGCTAGACAAAAAAATTTTTTTTTATTTGCAGAAGTGAGGGTTCTTGTTCCAAGACTTGCTTTGGTGTGTTTTTCGCAGACATGCTCCAGTTACTTTACTAATACAAGATGAGGTACAATTGTAAATTATTAAGACAAATCCACAAATGGCAAGCGAACAGAAAGCAAATTAGGTTGTCAGTAGTATTTTCTGTCTGGAGTTGCTTTTTCCTTTCAACAACACTTGTTCACTTGGACCAACGTTTTCAAACTCCACTGTCCTAATCGATACTGAAGCATCTCAGGAGAAGATGCCAGCATCCCAGGGAGCTGAGCATAGGAAATTCCCACCTTTTGACTGGTGGGGAACCCGAAAAGCCAGCTCGTTTGACATGCCTTGCTGCACAGGCTGCGGGGTGACCGTGCCCGAGAGTACCGCCCTGGATCTCATCAGTGCTGGGGATAGGTAGGCATGAGCAGGGCCAGCTGCAGTCGAGACCACAACAGGCTGGAGTCCCACACCCACAGCTTTTGCTGAGCACTGGCCAAAATCTTGGTTTTCCCTTAGCCCAAAGCCTGAAAGCCTTGAACTGGGCAGATATCTAATGGCACGGATCAGTGGATCGTAAAGTCCTTGTGACTAGAAACACCGCAGTGCTACCAAGGAGATGAATAAAGAGCAGAAGCGTTGACACCCAAATTACACATCTTGCTTTTCTGGGCAGTGAAAGGCAATGCAAGAGGCATACCTGAGAGGCAGATCTCTTAGAGAAAGTTCAGGCTTTTCTAGCTCCAGGTACCATGCAGAACCCACAGCCTTTAAAATGGGGAGGAAGGAAATACCAGTGTACATTAAATACACCAAAGGGAACAGGAGACCATGAAAAACTCCACCAAATGCCTCTGGCAACACTTTCAGCTGCTCCTGAGCAACCAGGGTCACCTACAGATTTGCGCATCGCACACGCACACGTCAGCACCGACAGGTCTCTGCCTCAAAGAGGACGCATCTGCTGGCAAAGAAACCCAAGGGCCACAGAAACGCGAAGCACCGGCAGTGCCAGTGCCACCGGTGTGGCCAGACATCTTCCAGCTCTGCTTCAGGAAGGAGGAACAGCAACCCCGGGGGACTGCACAGCCTGGCAAGGGACAGCTGAGACCCCTCAAACTCATGGCACATAGAAGCTTGCTTTCTGCCACAGCACCAACACATTCCCCCTTCACTGAGCCTGCTAAAGCACGTCCAGTTCCCACCAGCACGGGACATTCTGCAATCACAGTCCCCACCATGACCCTCTGCAGAGTAACCGGAGCTGCTGAAAGCAGCAAGTGGGTTTGGAAGCAGCAGAGCATCCTGCAAACAAAGAGCAAAACCGGGGAAAGGAGACCTGTCCATGTCATCGTGGTAAGGACGACTGAGCCTCAGGGAACCTTTGCTTCCAGTGTAGCCTTGGGCAAACTGATCCATCTGCCAACATCAGGTCACCCTCTCCAGCGCTGGGGTGAGCCCCCTCGAGGTGTCAGCTCTCTGGGGCAGTGACTGTCATTTCCAAGAGAGTATCCCGCACAGCAGAGCCCTAAGTGCATGACTGCAAGCCTTTCTCAGCCTCAGACCAGACCATACATTTGAGGAAGAGATGCTGGAGGGAAGAGCCTGGCATGGATAGAGTCCGTTGTCCCTCACCCAGAAAAGTCAATCTGATGTCTCACATTAAACTTAGGGGAGAAGGATGAGTTTGTGGTTGTTCGTTATGGCATGGTGGAGGAGAGGAGGTGAAAACAGAGGTGGAAGCTGCAAAAGGAAGGTTAGGACAGACACGACCTCACATCAGCGATCTGCATCACTCTCCACCCCAGCCCTGTACCTGCACAAGTTCCCCCATATCACGCAAAGTAAGAAACCAGTGTCTTCCCGCTGCTGCGATTTTTTCCATACCTGGACTGGAATAAGAGGCTCTTTGTCATCGATGTCAATTAGGATGTCATCCCTGGGCGTGAGGCTCACATCATCTGCAATCAGAGCAAGCACGAGCATGACCAGGACATCCAGCTGTTAGAAACCCCAAAGCCACCTTGGGATCAAGCTCCAGGAGTGATCTCAACCTTGCCCAGAGCCTTCACACCAGCCACAGCTCATGGTCGTGCAGGTTGGACAGCTTGGCCAAGGGACAGCCCAGCTCACCCACCAACCCCAGAGCTAAACTCCTCCTTGGCACCTCCTGGGCTTTTTGTATCAGACCTACAGCTGGGCTGAGCTAAAAGCAATGTATAGAGTGACCCACAGCTCCTCCTGGAGAAGGGTACAGGTGTGCAGCCAGCATGGTCCTCGTGGCAGTGCGTACCTGAGTGCTCCTGGGGACCGTTCGTCTCCTCTCGGTAGGGGTCACAGTAGAAGTCCTCCAACGAGCGGATGGTGCACTGCCCCACCACGGGCCTTCGGCCAAATGGCCTGTTGTCGATGATTTTGACAATGATAGGGGGGCTGTACAGGCTCTCCTTGGGTAAACGCTGTGGGCAGAGGGGAGGGAACACGTAACTACGCAGGGCAGGCAGGGTGGCTGCTCTGCACCTCCCCAAAGGGAACCGAGGCTGAGCAGGACAGAATTAGCTTCACCGTAGCATGTATTTTTTATGGGACCTCTGGAGGTCCTTCCCAACCAGCTCTTCTATGACCCCATCGCTGCAGGGTGGGGACCAGGTCCTCACCACTTCCATGAAGAGCACGCAGACATCAAAGTTGGGGTTCTTCTTGACGTTCTTGATGACACAGGACTGCACGAGCTGGCCTCCGCACTCCACCAGCAGGCTGGGTGAGGTGACGCTGGCCAGCTGGTAGCTCTTGAGGTTCCTCAGCCCCCAGGCCAGGATCTGAAGGGTGAGGGGAACAGACAGCAAAGACTGAGCCAAAGGTCTGCCTCCAGGTCTCTCACTGAGCTTCTCAGCAATGGAGGTAAGCCTGAAGGTTGGCCCAGCATGAAGGAGAAATGAATCAACCATATGGGAGAGCTGGTGCTGGGAGAAGCCAGGTTGTTCAGCAAGCGTTTCTCTGTATGCACCAACACACCAGGTCCACAACCACTTATCTGTTAATGGAGCACCTCTGTTTTGGGCAAATATCATCCTGGTGTGAGGAAGACTCTCCTCCTAAAAAGCAACTGTGGTCCAAGTCTGTGCTCTGCCCTAGGACTTGACTGCTTGGTGTAGACTCATTTAGAATCATAGAATCGTTTAGGTTGGAAAAGACCTTGAAGATCATCCAGTCCAACCATTAACCTACACTACCAAGTCCACACTAAACCAATCAAGGGTAGACTAGACTAAACCATGTCCCAAAGTGCCACATCTACCCATTTTTTGAACCCCTCCAGGGATGGTGACTCCACCACCTCTCTGGGCAGCCTGTTCCAATCCTTGACCACCCTTTCTGTAAAGAAATTTTTCCTAATTTCCAACCTAAACCTCCCCTGGCGCAGCTTGAGCCCATCTCCTCTCGTCCTATCACTAACTACATGGGAGAAGAGACCAACACCCCCCTCACTACAACCTCCTGTCAGACAGCTGTAGAGAGCAATCAGGTCTCCCCTCAGCCTCCTCTTCTCTAAGCTAAACAACCCCAGTTCCCTCAGCCACTCCCCATCAGCCCTGTGCTCCAGACCCTTAACCAGCCCCATTGCCCTTCTCTGGACACGCTCCAGCACCTCAATGTCTTTCTTGTATTGAGGGGCCCAAAACCGGACACAGCATTCCAGGTGCGGCCTCACCAGCGCCGAGTACAGGGGAAGCAAGACAACCTGGCTATGCTGAGGGAAGCCCTGGTGGGAAATAGGGCCGAGTGGCAGTCATGTGATAGGAACAGAAGATAAAATTGAAACCTATTGGTCTACTGAGGCAACTACATCCAGTAGGAGTGAAGGGAACGGTGGGTCTTCCAGGCAGGGCAACCCTAGAGCCAAGCTTACTCTGTTATAATGGTTTAAAGAGACTTTTTTGGTTGATAAACAATGGACAGAAACAGCTCCCAGCACTGCCGGGACTCCGTATCCACAGTCTGGCTTGGATCCCATTTCTGAGTCTCATCCCCCCATTAGGGACACACATTCGGGGTGTCATCCTGTGAGGGGGTGAGCTGCCTCGTGCACTCCCCATCACTCACCTCAATAGCCGTGCGCTGCAGGACCGGCTTGATTCCTTGGGGGACCATGTAAATGTTGGGCTCCCTCTGGGGCGGGGGGTACGGCAGGTCAGAGTCTGCGGACTGTGGGGAGCAGAGATGCCAAGGGCACATCAGGTCATGCCACAAAGGGACACCAACCCCATCGCCTCCCCCTCTCCACGCTGCGTCCCCCCGGAGTCTCCTCTCTGCAAAACTGACCCCCCCCCCAAAGTCCAGGACACATAGAAGGGGGAGATGAGGGCTGGGGGGAAGGGTGTGCTCGCAAACTGTTTCTCTGCCTTTAATCTGACCCTGGAAAAGATCAAACAGCTACTGCTGAGAGCAATCCCTGAGCCTTTCCCAGGGAACTAAGAAGGATCTGCCCTCCATCAAGGTTCAACCTCCTTTAGGAGAGGAGGGGAGGATGAAAGCGCATCTATCCAACGCCAGGACCTCGCTGCGATAGTTATGCAGAGGGATGAGGAGAGGGGACGAAGAAGCAGCAGCAGGGGGTTAATTAGTGAAATACAGCTCCTTGAGTTGGAGAGAGCGAGAAGACGTGCCCAGCTCCCGAAGAGCAGCAGGCAGTTTAGTGACGGCAGCACCGTGGGATGGAGGGTCGGCATCACCTCTGGGTGCAGGAAGGGGCTGTTGTTCATACAACGGCTCAGCTAAAACCTTATCTGGCAGCTGCCAAGCTGCCGGCCACAAGACAGCTCAAATAAGGCTGGCTGTGCACCATGTATACAGGAGATTTCCTTCAGGGTAAGACCAAATGTAGACAGCAGGTGAGGGATTCAAAAATTTGCCTTCACAGAGGAGGAAAGCAGGGAGCCAGACTTCCCCGGCCACTCACAGAGGACGGGCTGTGAGCCCTCGCAGCGTTTGGGTTCTTCTTGACCTGCATCTTTGAGTTCAGAGTCACCGAAAAGGCAGGAATGAAAGCAAAACCTCTAAAAATGCAACCCTCAACCAACGGCAGTTGGAACCAATTTAGGAGATTGGCATTCTTTTCAGGCTGGAGTATTATTGCATTAAATTAAGTGTGTATATGTATTTCAATTATAGGATTGGTTCAGGTTTATATATGTATGTATATAAATGCTCTACAAATGGATTTTTCACGGTGGCATGTTAGATACACTAGACGCTAAGCTTTAATTTTCACTGGCAGTTGCTGATGGCTGCTGAATCAAGCTGCTTGTTAGCTGAAGACTTTTGGTAACTCCATTTCAGGACAGATGTTTGGATTCCCACATGGGACAGACAGTAAATCTGGGGCAGGCAGTCCCACCTCCCATGGTCCACATGCTCGCAGAAATGGTGAGTGCTAGCAGGGAAAGGGAAGGTTATCTGGGAGGTGAGTGCCTAAGGAGAAAGGAGAGATGCAGAGCATCCCCAGCATCGCTCGGGTGCTCGGCACTTCTGGTAACCCACGTCCTTACCCAGAGCCTTAATTTCAGGCTCCTAAATGAGGCATTGCACCACCAACATGAGCTGATCCTGCCTCGGGGTAGAGGGATAAACCAAATGGCCCTCAAAGAGCTATCCTCAGCTTTTGTTTGTGATCCATAGCACTTGGAGCACATCAAGGTGCGTAGGCATGGACTGAACCAAGAAAAGCCTCATTCTTTCCTTGTTTAGTGACATATGTTCATTTCTAGCTTTAAATGTACTTAAGTTGCATAATGGAGATGCAGAAGTCACCTAGACCATTTCAAAACCCCAAGGCAGGCTCAAACTCCACACAGCCCCTGTGAGATGTCTGCAGTCTGTTCCCAAAAATTGAGCTTTTTTCCCCTAACAGGGCACCTAAAGCTTCATTGATGCAAATATCATGTGTTGCATTTCCTTACAGTCACTGGACTAAAGATCATTTCAATCCCTCTATCCTCTGGCAAATCTGTATGGGAAAAGGGGAAAGCCTTGGGGAAAGAGCTCCTGCCTGCCCCGCATCCTCCCCAGGTTCAATGGCATCTTTGAAAGCCAACAGTGCACGCTTGGCTCCTAACACTGCAACATCTTCAGCCAGCACCAGCCGTTTCTAAGTCCTCATCAATCCCCGCTGCTCTCCTGGTTGTTTTGCAGTTGTTCTCCTGGGTCTCAGCTGAATGCACGAGCATTAAATGTTTCACCAGTTGGGACAGAAATGAGCAGTGAGTCCTGGGGATGAGGCAGGAGCAGGGAAGGTTCAGGGTGGTAGTAAAGAACAAGCAATTCCCAGACACAGCTCTCAACCCAGACACAGCTGGCTGGATGGAGGAGACATCCATGGAGAGACCTGTGGGGTCTGCTGGCAGCTGGGATCGTTTGAATGAGACAAGTCAGGGGGAATTAGGGTGGAAGGGAGCTCTGGAGATCATCTAGTCCAACCCTGATTTTGATACAGGGTCGGAAGAGAGATGAGTGAAAGTCAACACAGATCAGACCAGCTAAAACAGTGGTCGGAAATGTCTCCCAATTTGAGCGCACAGCTGGGCCATGTTGTTTCAAGGAGGGCTTAAATCCCAGTGCTTGGAGGGGATCTAGCCCCAGAAGGCTACTCCCGTTTGCACCAAACAGAAATGCACTAGAAGGGAGCCTGGCGCCAGCCTGCTTGTTCAGATACATGCATCATTCTCCGTAAGGCTTGTTATTTACTGCTAAGGGCACGGGAGACCTCAGGCTGGCATCACTCTTTTGGATGCAACCTCAGTAGGTTGGTCTGGATGGGGTTCCTGCAGGGCAGGTGGGTCAGGCCAGGCCATGTCGGAAGGAGCTGGTCTCTCTGAGAGTCTCTGTTGGGACTTTGCTTGGTTTCTGGGCAAAGGCAGAGGAACAGAGGAGAGTCAAGTGTTTGAGCATAAAAGGTACCCATTGGAGGAGCCCCTCGTAGAACAAGGCAGGGGTGCAGAGCTGTGGAGTGCCCCATCCAGAAATGGCAGTGGCAAGAAACAGAGGAGAAAGAGCAGAGAGATGGTTATGTTTACACAAGCTCATCCATCTCAGCCCACATGAAGCACAAAGATGAGCCCCACACCATCAGGAAAGGCTGCTTGGGTGGAAGAAACCCATCTTGCAAAAATGTGTTTATCCCATCCAACCTTTCCTGGAAGTCAGCTCCCTGCCGTGTGTTTTCCAAGATAGCAGCCTACCCTGACACCGCTTGGTTTGGCCTGTGATCTGCTCTGTAGGATGCACAAGGTCGGGGTAGCAACTTTGACAGGTTGCCCAAGCAGCAGCTTGGGATCCTGATGGGAGTATTTCCTTCGGAGCAACTGGAACAGTCCAGCACATGCCCCAATTCATGGCAAATTCCCCATGAAAAGTTGCAAGCTTTTCACCTGGGATTTCAGTTGAGGTCCAGCCAAAGGTCAGCTCAGCATTTCGGCTTTTGCATGCTTTGTTTGGAAGGGTTGAACAGCAGTAGGCCTCATGCACACACATCCCAAAAAAGGTTAAATATTACCTGACATGCCCAGCCATCGGGAACACTTCCCAGGTTAAGCACAGAGCTCATCTACCCTGTCCTGCTGGTGATCACTCAGATTACTAAAATCCTGATACTATTGACTTGACTCATCTGAAAAGAAGTGGCTGCCCCGTGGAGGCCCAATTTTAACAATCTCCAAGGTGAAGAGACAACTAAATCTTATAGACTCACCTCATCCAGGCTGGAGGACAGCTCGTTCTGGAGAAGAGAAGGAGAGTACAGAGTTAGAGCCATTCTCATCCATAAGCCCATGCTAGGGCTTATAATTGCAGCTGATAACTGGATAGAAAAAGGATGCTTTCCAAGTTCCTGCACACCACCACCCCCAAGCTGGAGAAGAAATCAGTGTAGGTCACTTAAAACCATTTAAAATCCAGCATCAGTTAATGCTCAGATGGGCTGCAGGGTAGGAAACACGCTGGAGCTGTTGGGAAGCACAGCCCGTCGCGATGGGAATGCTGAAATTATCGCAGGGCAGGAAGGTAATGGTGTGTTTGACACCTGAGGAATTATAGCTGGAACGGGATACATTTGCCCCATCTTATGGGTCAAAAGTGAGCTGCCCCACTCACTCCAGCTTCTCTTTACCATCAGCTGAAGGAAAACGGCATCTCTACACGGGGATTCCTTCATCCTAAAACAAGTCCCTAAGACAGGATGGACAAGTTGCCTGCAGAAGCAGGGCTGCAAACAGAGTCCACTGCAAACCTCTGCAGGAGCAGCTGATGGTGCTGGGACCCAGCAGCTCTTTAGGGGCAGGGGAGGGGATGGTAAGAGGGGCGCAGGGCCTAGGAGCTGCGAACAGGAGAAAGGCATTACCTCGAAGCCAGGGATGTGATGGACAGCCGGCTGTGAAGAAAAGACACATACTTTCCGTTTGCACTCCTGGTGCTAACTCAGCTTTATCTGGCAAAGAAACCTCAGTCCTCCCATAGTCACACGCTGCCTCCCTCCATGCCCAGCGCTGGGCTCCAAAAAGCCTGGGCATGAGGGCAGGGCTCTCCCTCTGGCAAAGAGGCACGAGCAGAGCCTCAAATCCACCCAGCTGCTTTCTGCGAGGATCGAGCAAGGTCCTTAGAGAGGACCCCCCCTTTCCAAGGTCTATCCCACCCAGTTCAGTAACTTCTGAGGGGGGATAAGGAGGAAGAAGAGGCTGCATGCAGATGATTCGGTGCCCCATCCCGACAGCAGAGACATCCCCTGCGCACCCCCCAGCAGCCCCTCACTGGTGCAGCAAGGCTTGTACCCAGCGCATCTGCCCCCGGCAGCTGCAGCAGCGTGCGCAGAGCGCAGCATCCCTCCAGCAGCAGAGCTGCGACCTACATCGGAGAGGGGGAGGAGGGAGCTGCGGGACCCTCGTTCCCAATTAGCACCTCGGGGCCGGGAGGGAGGAACGGGACAGGGAGATTCAGCCTTCCAGTCCATCCACTTTCCCTGGCATTGAGGCACGTCTGGGCTGCAGCCAGGCGCCGCGGCCAGTGGAAAAGCCAGAGCCGAGAGAGGCGAGGGGGTGGTGCGTGCAGGGGGACAGGGAGGGTGGGAAAGCACACGAGAGCACACTGGGGCATGATGAGGAGTCTCTCCTGCCCGGGCTGGCTCCGAAGCACAGCCTCCTTCCCCCGTGGCTCGTTACAGGAACAGCCAGCACTGAGTGCGGCAGCTTGCTGCAGGAGTAACCGCCCGCTTCGGCTCTCATAAACCCCCTCCGGAAATTAACTCTGAGCAAAGGGCAGCCATCTGGGGCCAAATGCACCAGGCTCTTCCCGTGATGCAAAGGTGCCGAGGCTCTGAGCTCAGCACCGCAGCCAACCGGGCTGGCAGGGCACAAGCGGTGCCTCCCAAACTGGTACCCAGCAGCCCAGGCTTCGGTCTGGCGCCGAGCCTCTTCCCATCGGCTCTGCTAAACGCCTCCCACCGTGCCGCTGCGGTGCAGCCAGCGCCGAGCATCGCGGCTGGGTCTGCTCGGAGCAGTCGTCCTGGTGAAACTGAGGACGGGCAGCTGCAGAGCTGCTGAGTCCAGGTGGACATAACTCAGCACCGAGCAAAGGTTGGATCCTGCCAGGTGCTGAGAGGCTCCAAGGGAAGAAGCCAGCGTTACAATTAGAGACAGGATCAGATCCAGATGGGGAGCTCACCTTCTCCCTCTGAATCAGCTCGAAGGCAGCCAGCAGCTCCCCGACGTTTCTGTTCGCCTTGATGACCGGGTGCCAGGAGAGCCGCGGCGAGCACGCCAGGCTGGGCTTGCAAATGCAACGTCCCATGAACTCATCCGCACCCTGAAAGGCAATCACAGGCACGGGGAACTTTCTTCCCACCCCGCTTCCCGGTGGAGTCCATCACCATGCACCCACATCTCAGCCGAGACCCTATCCCTCAAAAATCAGGCTCAGTGTCTGAACCATTATGGGACCAGTTCAGAAAAAAAGATGGTTTTGATGCCCACATAGACTCAAGTTTTCAAACTCCTCCCTGTAACTACTAGGGCTAGAAATGCACTTTTTCGTATGCATTTTGGCTTAAACAGGACGTGAAATTCCTACGGTATCACACGATTTCCAGAGCAGGAGCTCTGGGTATAACATTAAGTATCAGCAGCTCTTAAAAAGCCCATTCACTGGTCTGCAACAGGATCTTCAGTTGCCTCTGCTGCTTCCTGCTGGTGTCTTTTGGAGAAGGGAGGGCAGACGGGTTTCTGAGCGGTTTCTGAGACATTCCTGAGACGTATTCTACAGGCTTTCCACTTATGCACTGCTCTTACACAGTCTGAAATCCCTTCTGCTCTTGTGACAGGCTACAGCCCAGTTTTTCTAGGAAGGACTCAAGGTTATCTCACCAGCCCCCCAGATGCCATCACTACAAGGCACTTTGGACACCTTTGGGCAGCTGAGCTAAGAACAGTGTATCATCCCCTACTTGCATGACTGCTTTAAAACCCGTCCCGAGCTTTTTGCACAAGGCACCATGGTTAATTCAGCCCCTCTGCAAAACACGATGTAGATGCAGCTTTCGTGACTAGAGCAGGGCCACCAAGGACATCACTAACAGAGCTGTTTGATGAATTTTTGTCTTCTGAGTGTCCAGCTCAACCTCTGAGCCACCCAGAGATGTCAGAGCATTGCACTCCAGAGGGCAGGAGCAATGCCACGCGTTTGTCCCATCTACCCCAGCACACTCACACCGTGAAGGTCCAGCTCAGGCCAACACACTTACGTAAGTGTCGTGGTCATATATTTCCACCACAATGTTGGGAGGGGAGTCAGATATGTTCTGGGGGTCCCCAAAGATCTCTATCTCATAGAAGATGAGTGTCTGGTCCCAGGTGGGGTTCAAGGTGTTCTTGATCACCACTGTCTTCTGGCTTTGATGGAGGAAGGATACAATGGCGTAAGGATCTGCAAGGGACAAGAGGCAAAGGATGAATTAGAGCTACCGATCTAGGGAGGAAAAAGCAATTCATCGTCACTGAAGGGCCAATGGGCCGTGCAGGGAAGACTGTGAACAGGCTGAAGGAGCTGCGGGTCTTTTAGAAACAGCAATGACATTCCCATCATGTCCTGGGTAACTCCAACTGAGAAGAGAATAAGGCCAAGTTCTCCAACACTCATACCTATACACCAGTTATTCACAGCTCAGGTACTTCCCAAGCTTGATGTGATGTCTGTATGCTTAGCAACCTGCAAAGGGGTTGACTTCCACAGACTTGCCCTGTCTCTCTTGAACCCACCCTATCCTCCAGTGAGGACTCAAAACTGCATGAAGAACCATCCCCTCGTGGCTTTTTGCAGTACCCACCTCCCTCTATCTCTGTCTGAGGCCCCCCAGTTCTTGCATTAGGAGAGAAGGAGCAGTCCACCCCTGCCCACCTGCACTGACACTCAGGGTTCTGCAGGTTTCCATCATGCAAATCCTAAAACATGCCCTTCTCAAGCTGAAAAGTCTCAGCCTTTGGAGTTACTCCTCATAAAGGGCCAATCCAGACCCCTCTGCGTTCCAGCTCTTTTCGGGACAAGACAACCACAATGGTCCACACAACTTAGCTGTCTATCTATGCAAAGACCTTCCTTCTTATCCCACAGCAGCCTCCTTTCCTTCAAAACTTTGGCTGAAGGATTTTTTTGTCAACAACCTTTTGGACATCTAATGAGACCATTTAACCAGAGCAACCTTATCCTCTGGCTTGTGATAGCTCCAGCTGGTGAAGACACAGTGACCTTCCCCGGCCACATCTCCCAGCACTCCCCTGCTGTAGCATTAGAAATTCCCTCGCTGGTCTGACTTGATCTGTCTTGGTCCAGGTTATCCTCATGACTCCTCACCCTGTCCACCAGCAGTGAGGTAGCACAAATAGTTCACCTATTGCCCTAAGGGTGTGGGGTTCTCTCCCAAAAGATGACTCTACAAGGACGAGTGCTTCGATGGTGATAACACAGCCGTCTTCCAGCGCAGCAGAGACCACAAACTCTTTCCATGATGCAAACGGTCTTTCCCAGGGAGATGCAGGAGGTACCAGCACTGCGCATGTGGGTGATCAGCAACTTCAGGTCATCCCTTGCTGTGAAGGCCAGACCATGAAGAAGGTGGCTGGGATGTTACTGCCTCCTCCCTGGGGTCTTTAACATCTCCAGAAGGGACAGGAGCTGAGGATGCACCCAGCAACCAGCCAGAGTCATCCTCTCAGCCCCTTTGCATGAGCTTTGGGTAACCTCCATGTCTTGGGGAGGGTTTTGGGTTCCCAGCACTCCAGGTTATCCCACCTGGCCTCCAGCTGCCACACCAGACAGCTCTTGGTCTCCCTTAGAGCTGCTGCATCATTTCTGCCAGCCCCATACAGATATCTCAGGTACTCCAGGGTCTCATCAGACCCCTGTACTTAGGCACTGAGCTAGGACCAAGCTGCCTCACCCCTACCCTGGGACAAAGCCAGAGGCTTCTCACAGCAAGGCAGCAGCAAATAGGGAAGAGTAGCCTCCCTTAACAACCAAAGCAATTAACACAGGAAGCCTGAGATCAATTAACAACTGAAGCATGAAACCTGAGCCCCCTCTAACACCTTCCCTTCCAGACAGCTTCAAAGAGCATGTGGCCCAAACCTGCTGTAGACATCCAGCCCACGCCGGCAGTGGCACTGGGCATGGGGACAGGACAGGCAGTAGCAGAATGAGGGCCAAGGGCTGGGTGAGAGGCTTGAAATGTGCTGTGGGATCACATTATAAGGTCCCACGGAGGCTGAACACCCTTCATCACCTGATAGTGCCTACCGGTCCTTGTCAGGGGTGAGAACTCCGTGATTGCTGCATCCCACCTGACTGGTGCCAGCTGGAGCCCTGAGCTCTGGTTGCCTGCAAAGCCCAACCTCCATGGTGGCAGGAGGCATCACGGGCCTTTTTGGAAGGACACAGGCTACCTCCTCTGCCTGGCACCTAGCACGACGTGCCACCACAAGATGCAGACGCACCTGACAGCGTATGGGGGTCCACCAGCGTGCAGGGGGGTACCACCCGGCTCACCCCAAAGCCAGTCCCAAGAGACCTGCAGGCAGCCAGGAGCTCAGCAGAGCCTACAAATGCAACCCTTAGTGCTCGGTGCTGCGCACGCCCCCACGGTCCCAGGAGGGGGTCCCCCCACCCCGCAGAACAGCGTGCACACCCCAACACCAGCACCGTCAGCAGACCGTGAGCTCATGCTGGGAGCAAAACGTGTCCTGCCTACCCTGGAGATGGAGGAGCATCCCCCAGGCACCTGAGCGCGGGGCCGGCTGCGCAGGGCGGCATCCCCCACCCTCTCTCCCCGCTTCCAGGGATGGGGGGGCTAAGGGGGGGTGTATTTTCTTTCTTGGCGTCCAGACCGCAGCAGACGTGTTTAATGAGCCGGGGCTGTTTGCGAGGTGGCCGGCTGGAGAGAGCACTATTCACGCTGGGAAGAACCTTTTCCACTTACGCGCTTTTTTCCAGTAAGAGGAAAGCAGAATGCGTTACAATAAACAAAAAAACCATGGATTTGGATTTGCTTTTTTGCTCTTTTTTTTTTCCCCCCCTCTTCTTCTTTTTAAAGGAGGCCTCTATAAAGCCCCTTTGTTTAGACCCTCGTGTGCACAGAAGGTTTATTTTTATAACTGTGTAAAGCCCCCTTAATGAACTCCTTTATGCTTTGTTAAGGCAGCGGAGATCACAATTCCACATTGTGGCATGTTGTTACTCATGTTGTCCTTGGCCAGGTTTTTCCGAAGGAAGGGACTCCCCTCCCCGCTCCGCCGATCGGGGCCATGAGATCACCTCGGTCCCCACCACTTCGAACAACAAACCCTTTGTGGAGGCGGAGGGGAGACGGGACTTCGGTGGGCGCAGACACTGGGTGATTGTTTGGGTGCTCTGCACCTCTCCAGGGCATTTCTACCCACCTCCCCCAAGCCCCTCTACTTCAAAATACCAGGGGGAGCATGCGTCCCCCAGGACTGTGGTCCTGCTGCCTGGCACGGTGATGCCCGGCTGTCCCCGCTCGCTGCTCCCCGCTGTGCTGCACTGCTTTTGGGGTCTGTCCCTGTATCCCATCCAAGAGCTGTCACCCTTGTGCCAACACTGGTGGGCAATCCCATGCCCAGCCCCTCTGCACATCCCCGTGGCAGACGGTCAGTGGCAGCCATGGAGGGATGCTGGATGCCTCCTGCCTGCGGGCATCGCGGCAGAGGGGTGTGGGTGCTCCGGGGATACCTGCCCCAAGACCTGCTCACATCTCAGATGTGGCCCCCACCACGTAGCCATGAACCAACAGGGGACTTTTTGCATTGCCCCAGCTCCGGCTCTGCCTCAGAGGTAGACAGCAACATCCCCACTGTCCTGCCTTCCCACCTCAAAATGACACTCCAAAGCATTAACGGGTGTGGGCAAAGGCAGCTTTGGTCACAAACACCAAACAGCCACGGGGTCACCTGGCTGGGATGGCCCAGCCCATGGAGAAGAAGATGTGGGACCCTCTGGCTGCTGGGGGGCAGGTCCCTGCTCAGGTCAAACGAGAAGGACAATTCCTGGCACGTCCTCCCACCTCCACAGCCACGCTTCAGCCTCTGCTGCAAACGAAACAATCCTAAAACCAAACCACCTACACCCAAGCACCCTTCAGCACCAACAGATAACAGAGCTGCCCAGCAGATAAAGCGACATATCTTATTCTGACTTGATTTCCTAGCCCAGAAAACAGCATGGGACGTCCTGACCACATCAGCTCAAGTCTGGCAGTTTCAGAAGTGCCTGAAGCTGTGTCGGGGACGTGCTGAGCAGCAGGACGTGGAAAGCTCCTTGCTCGAAGCCCAGGACACCCTTTTTGACCTCACTTTTTTTGCATGAAGGGGCATTTTTTACAGTCCAGTCTGAAGGATGCCCAGTTCAGGCATCGACTCCATCAAGGAAACCCCCCAGCCATTGCCTCCCAGCCCTCTTGCAAAGTTTCCAGGATGGAGAGCGGAGGAGCAGCAGCTCAACTTAATGTTCGGTCGTGAAAACAAATACGAACCATTTTACAGATTTGCCACTGTTAGGTATTTTCCTTTCCAACCGTATTTTCAATCAGTTCTTCCACTCCTAATAAACAGGGTCTCCCTTCCTCAGCCTTGATCCCTTCCCCAAACCCTAGGGCAAATCCCCTCCACAAACCCCAAGCCCAGGAGACTGATGCTCCCCTGCCCTGCAAGGGTGGGCAAGAGGCTGGCCAGGATTCAACCAGCTGGGAGCAAGCTGGATGTTGAGGGCACGTATATCTGACCAGAAACTGCATGAGGATGCCCGGAGAAGAAGGTGCCTGTCTGCTCCGAGGTCCTAATTACACCCTTGCACCCTTTTTCATTTTTCTGAGCACATCTCATGGAGGTTTCTGCCCCGTGCTCCATCATCTCGACGCCAGCCCAGAGCCCTCCGTCCTCCCTGCAATCCCCCGGCTCGCACGCTGCGTGGGGGGGCGGCTCGAGGCGATGTGCCACGGTAAACATCCCTGCCCTCCGCTCTGTTTTTATTTGTCATGCCCCTGAGCCGTCTGCTACCCAAGCCTTGCCACTGGCTTTCAGCGTCACCTCGGGTCGGGGAGAAGGAGCTATTAGCAAAGCAAACAGCTCTGACTCACGGCTGACCTGGGTAACTTGTGGTTTCTGGTTGATTTCTCACATAAGAGTTCTTGAAACTCTGATTTTTTTGCTGATGGGAAATCAAGCTACCAGGCTGGTTGCCCTTGGGAAAGCCTCGTGCCGCTGTCCTTTATCGTTTGGCGGCCAAGCATCCCTCACTTCCCATCAATAAATACCCCCAAATTTGCTTTACAGACCCCACTACTCCCCAGCATTCATTACAGCACTGATTACAAGCACAAGCAAGTGGATGTGAGCATTTGGGCTTACCTGAAAAGCTGTCCTTATCCATGGCAATCAGATCCCGCGCTTGGTACATGTAGCAGCGGAGGTGGTATCTGTTCCCACCTGTATAGAGGAATGAGAAATAGTTAAGAGATGAGTCCAGGGATGAGTGCAGGGTGCCGGGGGAATAGCTGAGTTTTTACCCAGCCCCAGGCTCATGACTGAGGGCAGCTTGGCTTAATCCTTCCCATGGCTTCCCAAGAGAGCACCGAGCCCTGAGCACGTCGATGCTCCCAGGGGAACAAGCCATGCCCCATCCTTACCCACCCCACTCTTTCCATCAGCCTGCACTCGATGGGTGAGAGGAAGAGGATGGGAAATGCTCAGCTATGGGGTCCCCACAGCAGACACCCCGTGCCAGGACTCACTGGCCACCCTCGCCTCCGACCCTTGGGGCCTTACAGTCAAATATGCACGAGATGGTGGGTCTGTTGACTCCGAAACTGAGGGTGGAGATGGATTTGCCATCGTCACTCTTGTCGTCCGTCACTCCCCCCTGCAAGAGAATGCAAGGCAAGGTCGGTCATGCCAGGATCCCCTCTGTGGCCGGGGCTCCCCGCCGGATGGGGTCCTCCAGGGTATTATCCACATGGGTGTCCAAGAGGACTTTCGGCTTCCCCATGGAGGGACCCTCAGGCTCTTGTGCTCCAGGAGGGCAGAGAGGACCCAGGTCCTGATCCATGCTGTGCTGGGAGGGAAAAGGACACGACAACAAAAGCAACCCAAGAGTCACCAATTCACATCCCGCCTCCCAGTATCTTACCAGCATGGAAAAGCCTCTCCGTAAAGTTCATCATTCTTGGAGCAGTAGTTAAAGCAATGTCATTAAATCCCCTTGCGAGCAAAATTAATGGAGTATAAACTTTGTGAACAGTGATACAGATGCTGTCGAATGCAGCCAAATGCCCCATTCGCTGCCCGGGCAGAGCCCTGGCCAACCTCGGCCATCGCTCTTCCCTCTTCTTGTGTTGCCCTACGAGAGCTGGCCTTTTATCACCTCCTAATTGCCACGTTTGGCTTGAAATATTTAGCTGCAGGAAAAGGAGCGTAAAGGTAACTTCCTGGCGAGTGTAAATCTGATCTTTAAATATTTTTCAATTATCAAATGCTAGGGAGAGAGACAGCAGGGGTGTTTAAAGAAAAAAGGACAAGAAAGAAGGAAAAAACCAAAAAAAGCAGGTCCAGGATGGTGTTTCCAGAGCCCAGAGCTGCCTGGTCCCACAAACATGTCAGGAGCTTAGGTGGTCTGCAGAGCCCTCCTTGCCTTTCCAGGCAGGAATCGCAATTACCATGACATTGTCTGCAGAGGAAGCCCTGGGGTTTGTGCTGTATTTATGGCGGTGAGGTCGCACCGAGGGTTTGCAAGGAAACCTCCAGCGCTGCCTTCCCTTCCTCGCCCCCTCCCCGCGGGAGCTGAATAGCTCCTCAGTTATTTTTATGACCTTTCTGCCCAGCGGACCGCCGGTCCTCCCAGTCCCCCCACCCCAACCTGCGCCCGCTGCCAGCCTGGGGAAGGGCAAGTGGAGGAGAGAAGGAGCTGAGACAGACAGGGATTGCTCTCTGAAGCTCTCAGCAAAGGCTTGGGGACCCCCCGGGTCTGTCCATCACAGGGAAGGCAGGCTCCTCACACCCCAAAACACCATGGAAAGCACACCTTGGAGAGGGCAAGCTGGAAAACGCTCTTGCTCAGGACTATGATGTGCCCTTTGGGGTCTCCATGCGGGATGGAGCACCTCCACAATCTCCTCCCTTCATCCCATCCCCACAGGGTCCCCAGGCACCGGGACCTGCAGCGGGAGCCTGTGCATGGTGCACGGTGCAACATAGCAGCCACGCGCCTTGGGTGTAGGAGCACCGGGGGACAGAGGCACCCTCAACCCACTGGCATCCCACCACTCTGCCCTGAGCAGGACTCCTCTGCACCTGGGCTTTCCCACCAGGACCCCCACGTTTGGTGCAGCTGGTTGGTAATTTGGGCACAAAGCTACAGCACCGGTGACCCCCACCCTGGCCAAACCCCGGTGGTACCACGTGCCCATCCTAGCTGTCATCCCCCTCGTTCAACTCATGTCCCTGCTCTTCTGCAGTGGTTCAATCACGCCTGGTGCAGAGCCAAAGGTGGGGCATAAGTGCCAGCAGAAACAGGCAAGATTTTCCAGCCTGGCATGGAAAACCCAAAGCTCTCCATCAGCCAAAGGTTTCCCTCAACTGAGTTTTGGAGGAGGATGGGAGGAAATGGTGCTCACAGGGCTGCTCACAGCTCCAGGACAGAGCCACTGGGCTTTTCATCAGGAACCAGAGACAGCCTCAAGCCACAGAGCTCACCTCTGGGCTTCCCAGAAATCGGACTGAGGGCAGAGAGGTGCCTGGGGGCCACACCATGTCCCGTGGTCCTTCTCTTTTAATGACTGTCAGTGAGGACTGAGCTGCCAAATGGCAGGTCCCAAAATAGCTGAGACACACCGTCACAGAGAGGGAAACCCAGGAACAAGCTGATACGAGCAAGCCCGAGGGAAAGGAAGGCTGCCCAGCTTATGTGGGGAGATGCACAGGTGAAATACTGGCAAAAAGAGAGGAAACAACAGGATAGTGCTGCAAGCAGCAGTGTTACACTGGTTCCGCATTTTGGGTACGGGTGGGAGTGCTAAAAGCCTTTTGCATCATCAACATCTTGGTCTCAAGCTCCCCATTACTCAGCTGGGACCCATCACGAGAAGCAATAAGCACCAGGCGCTTTGTGGGTGTCCCCGGGTATAGGGGGGTGCCAACTCACAGCAATGGAGAGGGCAGGGTGGTCATGGCAAGGGCAAAGGGGGCGGCCTGGAGGATGGACGATAGGATGAGAGGAGATGGGCCTCAGCTGTGCCAGGGGAGGTTTAGATTGGATATTGGGAGAAATTTCATTACTGGAAGAGTGGTCAAGCATTGGACCAGGCTGCCCAGAGAGGTGGGGGAGTCCCCATCCCTGGAGGAGTTCAACAAACGGGCAGAGGTGGCACTTGGGGACATGGTTTAGTGGGCATGGGGGTGTTGGGATGATGGTTGGGCTGATGATCTTAGAGATCCTTTCCAGCCTTAATGATTCCTAGTTTTTACTTTCATTAAAAATAATCCAGCCCCCAAGCCAGGACACATGAAATTGCTGCTCTCCCCTTAATTGGTTTAGTGGTGGACTTGGTAGTGTCAGGTTAATGGTTGGACTGGGTGATCTTCGAGGTCTTTTCCAACTTAAACAATTCCATGGTTCTATGATTGTGTGGGATGCTTTGCCCAGGACACTCGTGGGTTCACCACAGGTCTACTTCCCTGAGTCCTGCCCTGAGCCACCCATGGACCGTCCTAAGATGTGGGTGGCTGCAGGAAGGCTCCAAGGGCTGCCGAGAAAATGGCACACCAGGAAGGAAAGAGCCGCCATCCTTCTGCATTGGAGAGCCCACGGCTGGGGGCAGCAAGAGAGAGCAGGTGAATCAGTGGGAAGCAACATCTGAGGCAGCTCCACCCACCCCAAAGGACACCCCAAATCCATCAGGCTAATTGCATCCAAGGCAGCCGAAACTCTGTGCCACATGGCAGCACCACGAGCCCTCGCAGCAGCATGTGGCCCGGCTTCAGGATCCTTCTGCATTGGAGAGCCCACGGCTGGGGGCAGCAAGAGAGAGCAGGTGAATCAGTGGGAAGCAACATCTGAGGCAGCTCCACCCACCCCAAAGGACACCCCAAATCCATCAGGCTAATTGCATCCAAGGCAGCCGAAACTCTGTGCCACATGGCAGCACCACGAGCCCTCGCAGCAGCATGTGGCCCGGCTTCAGGCAGCACCCCCCTGCCAGCAGCCACGCTGCCCGGCCCCGACGCTGCTCCCCATGGGACGGGGGATTGGGGAATGTGTCCCCCTCCCCTTGTTGCTTGGGGTAAGTGGGGTGGGATGGAGCAAATGTGAGCAGCGGAATAAAAGTCTTCGAGCAAAAGTAACGTGAGCACGTGCTTGGGGAGAGCGAGCACGCAGAAGAAATCATGCACGCATGTGCATGCAAGTATGCTTGGGTCTGGGGGCAGTCGAGGGGCACAAGCTGGGGTCACCTGGGCACCCAGCAGCCCCCCAGCTCTTCCCGCTGCAGGGAGCCGGGACGGCTGGGAGCGGACGCTCGCACCCCGCAGGTGGTGCTGAACAGATGCTGAGCTCACCCAGCAGAAGTGCCCAGCCCCACACATGGCACCGGGGCTGATTTTTCAGGGAAGCCCCAGCCAAGGAGTCACCAGCTCCTACAAAACCCTGCGGAGCAGCTGGGCAACCCACTGGGGCTCTGCTTCCCAGCTGCTCCCGGCTCTGGGTCACCCTGATCCCGGGGTGCTGGGGTTCAGCATGTCTCAATGGCAACGATTGCTCAGTTTGGTAAGGCTGGAGCGACGCATTCCCCGGGAAGAGGGAGACCCAGAAACCCCAAGCACCATCCGCACATTCCTGCATCCAAGACACATTCCTTCTGGTCATGTTTGGTATTATCTTCCTGCTGGAAATGAACCCTTTCGAATAGCTCGGGGAATTAGCACTTGGGGTGTTGGCTTGTTCTGTCTGAGTTTGCACTTTAATCCTCCCTCCACTTCAGTTTCCCTGCACCGCTGCCGTATGGCTCCTTTGCTGGACGGGCTCCGGGCAACCCATGCCACAACCACAAAAATCGCACAAATGCCTTTCGCGGAGAAGGCAGCAGATAACAGGAACTGGACGGAGCAGAC